GGACACACACGAGAAGCAGCAGCTGAGTGAAGGTCCCAGTCCGCATCAAGGAACGAATGAACAACTGAAAGAATGACCAACCTGGCCTGGGCCTAGGCCGGAGAGATATACCGGCCTTGGCCTGGGCCTAGGCCGGAGAGAGATATACCGGCCTTGGTCCAGGCTGGAGTAACCCGGTACCGGACGGGGTCAGGCCGACGGCCTGAAACAGGTCCGACCTCACTGCCGGGCCGAAGGGTACCACTACAATAGTCCTACTGCACGTGATGTTCCAGAATCAGCTCAATCCTACACTCCAGTTCCTCACTAGTATTCATCAGCATACCACACCACTTCTTCCCATTTCCTTGCTGTGCGTTGATTTTTCACACTCAAATCCGTTGATCCAGCGCCCATGCCCTTCATCCACCTATCAAGATATGATCCCTTGTTCTCATCTCGTACCTGAACCCGATCCTACTCTCGTCATTGTGGCCCGCTTCAGCTGAATAAATACTATAAATAAATACACTCAGCCTTATCGAGTCCACACTTACCCCATCATATTTAATCAGCGCGCCGTCGATGAGATGGTTCACGTTCATATTTGCCTATCGCTCTTGGACCAACGATCCTTGAACATGTTACTTCCATAGTCATCCCGATGATTCCACGAGACCTTTGATATTCAGAAACCCATAGGTCTGCCCACTTATCGTTTTTTATTACCCTTTTACTGCCGTGTGACCCTGGACATGTCTCTTCATTTGATACTGATGTCCGCCATTTGTGTCCTCCCATCACAAGTGCTACCTTTCCACTTCCCGCTCGTGCCTCGTCCATATATCTGCCTGATCCATGATCCTGATCGTGCCTCGTCCTTCAATATGCCAACTATGTTCTCAATCCATGTCCTTGCATCCCAAGTGCCCGCTTTCCATTTTCTGCACGTGCCACCTCCTTCGATATTCTTGATCCAGGATCCCCATAGTGCCTCGTCCATTTGTGTGCGAATGATGTCGGCCATCCGTGTCCTTCTTTCCCCTGTGCTACCCTTCCACTCCCATAGCATACCCTTAGTTGGAACGTTAGAGACTTCCGTGATATCGATATTGTACGTTCCGGTATGCCGTGAATTGCGAAGTTGGAAATCCTGCGCCTTCCGTGATCTTCTTTTCATCAGTACCCCAAGGATATGAAATGTCACCCCACTTGAGGAGTTGTATCATCAGCATCGTCCGTGATCTAGCTTGCATCAAATATCCAAGACATGGTGTTACGAAAATCTGCCTGTGTGTACTCATATTCTGGTAAAATTCCCGTAGTTTCATTAAGCTTGACTGCTTCCAATTCGTAGTACCTGCTGTTTCACTGTGCGTTCACATCCTCAGTATCCATACCTCGTCATATCATGTGGTTTCCAGTCCCACATTCTTTTTTTATCTCATTTATTAGATGTATCGATTCCTTCTTTATGTACCCCGTGCTGCGAAGTACTTATTTCGAAATGTTTTTACGATATCTTTTGTATTTCCACATTCATAACTCCTTATAAACGCATTAAATGCAGTGAGTATGATCTTTCGAGGATACAGCAGGAGAGAGAGAGAGAGAGAGAGAGAGAGAGAGAGAGAGAGAGAGAGAGAGAGAGAGAGAGAGAGAGAGAGAGAGAGAGAGATCTGAAGGGACAGGCCATCCATGATGTCACGCCACTGCAGCAGAAGCAGGAGTAGGAGGACCACGACGACGACTTACCATGGAGGAGGGGACGTTGTAGGACGTTGTAGGACGTTGTGGCCATGTATGATATACACACCACAGATTTGCTGTTCTGGACATTTCCGGACCCACGCAGACCTATCTCGACAGTCCATGTCCGGTATGTATGTATGTCCAGTTATGCAAATGTCCAGATGAATCCAGACGGAAGCTTGGCCGGACGTTTGGATCGGTATGGTGTCCACGACTGGTGTTGCCACACTTTTATCCTTCAGGGCATCTTACTTACACAAAGAAGAACAAGTGGGAGGGACTTTTTTGAAGTTTTTTCTTTTTTTTGTTGTTTTAACTTCTTTTTTCTATTTTGGGATAAGCATGGTAGCTTGTTCTAAACCACAATAAGTCTCTCTCTCTCTCTCTCTCTCTCTCTCTCTCTCTCTCTCTCTCTCTCTCTCTCTCTCTCTCTCTCTCTCTCTCTCTCTCACCTGTACTTCAATTGAAGCATTCCCGCGTTTGTTCTGACTGTCTGTGACCGTCACCAAGAACCTATAGGTTGCTCCGGTTGCCAGCTTGTTTGGTGCTATGAACAGCCTGTCTGAGGTTGGCAAGATAGGTACAGCAGAAACAGCAGGAAGATATACTGTTCCGCACCTCCACATGAAAACCAAGTCACCCGACCTGACTGGAACAATAGCCCTGAGTTCAAGAGGATTCGCTGGGTTATGAGATCTGTTCAATTCCACAGCAAGTACAGAAATAGTTAATGAAAGAGCCAGAGGTCAAGAACAGTGATGTGCACAGAATACCAGAGGGGTATTGTTGCATACTCGTGAGTTCAAGCTCACGAGTGCAAGTGCAGTACCAAGGATCAACCAATAAAGGACGAATATGCACAGCGGAAATCTGAAATGCGGACTGACTCACACGGACTTACATACATCCCATCACTCAAATCCACTCATTCAAGTGTGAGGAGGGATCTGGCTCACACACGGACGATAGCCAGATCCCGTACAACCATACACGGACGAAGGAGGGAGATGAGAAGAGGAGGAGGTAAGGAGGTGGGAGATGGAGTCATTGTCAGCTGTCAAAAATGGAATCCGAATGTCATCAACTCGGTAACCTCAAAAATGTCGCCAAGATACAAGATCGTCGGCAACAGTCACCAACAGGTAACATCCCAAACCCAAATCCTACCTACTCTGCAATGTCTCACTCCCAAACCCGAATCTCCCTACTACCTCGCCTATCTCACATAAGTCCGATCTGTCGATGAAGTCTGGGCTGATCCCGAAGTCCGATGATACTGAAGTGTAACCAGAAGAAGAAGAAGAAGGATGGAGGGAGAAGAAGAAGAAGAAGAAGAAGAAGAGATGAAGAGGAAGGAGGAAAAGAAGAAGGAGATGAGGAGGAGAGAGAGAGAGAGGGGACTGGTGACGGGGGGGGAGGAGAGAACCCTCAACCCCCGGTACCTCAGGCGGCTATGGCCACCGATCTGCTCCAGTCGCCGCTGCTGCTCCGCTCGCTGCTGCTGCTGCGTGATGCCGCTGCTGCCGCTGCTCCTCACTCCTGCGCTAAGCAGCGCTAGCGCTCTGGCGCTATACCATAACGCACCGCTGAGTTGCCGGTGGTTCGATACCTCAGAATGAGGCTGGACCAGTACTAAGTACTGGTTCGAACGGACCGGCCTCAATGCTGCAAGGCCTCGGTAGGGCCTGAATCGTCCAGATCGGCGGTTCAGATCCTACCGGAGGGCGGCAGCCTCAAAGGCGCCGCCAGGCCCAAAACGAAAGTGTCGTTTGGGCCTGGTCCGTCGGTCTGGTCCAAAAGTCGGCCTTTTCAGCCTGTCGTACCCCCAAGGTCGGGCCTTTAGGCCCTAAGTGTCCCTCTGGCCCTAAGTCGGGTCCGATAGGGCCCGTGGGACATCGAAGATGTAACACACTCCCCCTCTAAAAAGACCGAGCCTATCGGCGAGGGCGGAGTTGTCTATCCGATACCGGGGCGGGTCGGGTGGGCCGAGCTGCTTCCTCGGCGAGTCGTTTCTTCTCATAGGGTCCGAAGATGAGGGGTGCAGAAGCCTGCAGTTCTGCACGAGAGAGCCACCGCGTGTCGTCGGGCGCACATTGCCTGAGTGTCACCTTGTACTGCATCGGCTTGTTGCCGTACTTGCGGTGTGTGATGATGCGATCAACCTCCTGATGTCCGTCCGTAGAAGGCGGATCTTGGGATCGTCGACCCGGAAACTCGTCAGCGGAAGGTGGCGTGTAGGGGGGCAGCTTCGATGCGTGGAAGACCGGTGCACAGGCAGGTGCAGCGGGATGTCGACGAAGAAGGAGGGGCCTGCGGGGTCGTCTCCAGCTGCAAAGGTAATCTTCCATGGTCCAAACCATTTCAGAAGGAGTTTGCGCGAGACGTCCTGCTCAAGTGCAAATTCCTCGGAGAGGATCCAAAAGAGATCTCCCTCGCGGAAAGGACAAGGAAGGCGACGTCGGTTAGCTTGCTGCTGCATGCGAATCTGGGCCTTTTGCATGTTAGCGCGGGCTTTGATCAGCAGGTCCCGGTACTTACGAACTGAAGCGGGAGAGCAAGGGACGTCTATGTCGGCGGCCCGAGGAAGAAGAAGATCAGCGAAGACCCGTGATTTCTCTCCACCATGATGTAACTCGAATGGTGTGACACAGATCGCCGGATGCACTGAAGTGTTGTAGGCGAACTCGATGTCAGGAGGCCGGTCAACCCAATCTTTCTGGTCAGGACAGATGAGCGTGCGTAGCATCACCTGAGCGGTCTGGTGCGCTCTCTCCGTCTGGCCATCCGTCTGCGGGTGCCGAGCCGAGCTCGGCTTCATAGTCGTGCCGAACTCCTTCATGAGAGAAGTCCAAAAGGCGGACATGAAGCGAGTATCTCGGTCGCTCACTATGTCTTCTCGAACAAGCGAGCATATTTGCTCAAACGGTCAACGACCGTGAGGATACCATCATGGCCGAGGCGATCGCGGGGGAACGGGCCTGTGACGTCCATAGCAATGGAGAGGCGCGGTGCCCGAGGAATCGGCAACGGTTTCAGTTCGCCGTGGGGGACTCGAGATCGACCCTTGTTTCGGTGGCAAACTGCGCATGACTCAATGTATCTCGTGACGTCATGGACGACGTCGGGCCAGAGGAATCGCTGGCGGAGTCGTGCTAGGGTCCGTGTTACGCCAAGATGTGCCGAAAGTCGTGCGTCGTGGAATTCGCCGAGGAGACGAGTCCGTAACTTACGATCTTGGGGCACGACTATCAAGTCCTTCCCTCTCGTGTGAAGGAGAAGGAAGCCGTCGGAGATCCGATAGTGACTCGCCGGCGGGTGATCCGATGAAAGCTCCTCGTAAAGTGTGGAGTAGGTCGGGTCGGACTTGTAGCCGTTGACGAAATGCGGCTGCAATTCGTCGTCGAGGTCGAACGCCGTGGTCACAGCAGCACAAAAGTCGGGCCGTCGCGAGAGGGCGTCCGCAGCTCAGTTGGCGGGACCGGGAATGTGGCACGGCTCGAAGTCGAAATGGTCGATGTAGTACATCCATCGACCTATCATACTAGTGACCGTATCTTGCGTTTTGTAGAAGGTCAACGGATTGTTGTCCGTGTTCCATCTAAAACGCCGACGGCCGAGAAGAAAGTGGCGCCACCGTTTGAGGACGGTGACGAATGCAAGTAGCTCTTTCTTCCTGGCATCGTCAAGGGTGTGGACGGGAGGCACCTTTTGGGAGAAATACTCAACCGGATGCCAACCGTCCTCGTGACACTGCTCCAACACCGCACCAATGCCGTATCCCGAAGCATCCGTAGTCACTTGGGTAGGGAGGGTGGGGTCGTATATACGGAGGGCACGTGCAGATTGCATCGCTGCCTTCAACGTAGTGAACGCGTCACGGGCGGCGTCGTCGAACTTGAAGGGTACCTTAGGGGACTGAAGTCTCGTCAAAGGAGCGGCCACTTTCAAATAGGACTTGACGAAACGCTGATAGTATCCAGCCAACCCCATGAAAGAGCGGACATCCGTCGTGCAACGAGGTTCCGGCCAATCCACGATGGCTTGGATCTTGTCCGCTAAGGGACGAATGCCTTTCGACGTGACAAATTGGCCCAAGTACTCAAGCTCCTGCTTGGTGAACTCGCACTTGTCGAGATTCGCTTTGTACTTGGCCGATCGCAGACGATCCAAAACAGTGCGAAGATGTGTGATGTGCTCGTCCAACGTCCGACTGTAAACCAAAATGTCGTCGAGGTAGATGAGGACGCTGCGGTCGAGCAAGTCGCGGAACTCCGTCGTCATCGCTGCTTGGAAGGTTGCGGGGGCATTGGTGAGGCCAAATGGCATGACGACCCACTCAAAATGCCCATACCGCATCTTGAACGCGGTTTTGTACCGATCCCGAGGCTCGATCTCGATCTGGTCATAACCTGACTTCAAATCTAGCTTTGAGAAGTACGTCGCGCCGCTTAACCACTCAAGGAGATCATCAATCCGAGGGAGAGGGCCGGCGTTCTTTACGGTTTGTGCGTTAAGTTTTCGGTAATCGATACACAACCGTAGATCCTTGTTCTTCTTCCGGACGAAGAGAACAGGTGCACCGTATGGTGAACAACTAGGGCGAATCCAACCCTTGTCGAGAAGGTCATCGAGTTGTGCGCGAAGCACCTCGAGTTCCTCTTCGCTCATGTTGTAGATACATCCAAGCGGAGGGACGGCGCCAGCCTCGAGAGTGATCCCGTGACGTATGGGCCGATCCGGAACCGTTCCGGTGGGCGCCTCGAAGACGTCTCTTTACTCGTCCAAGAGGTGGGAAATGCGTGGGTCCGGCGGCGACGCGGCTGCTCCGTCCGGCAAGCGGAGAGTATGCAAAAAGACAAGGCCCATCTCCTCGACGACTTTCCTAGCGATGGCATCGCGAATCCTTGCAAAGGAAACCACGTGACAAGCAATCGAAGGGTGAGGGGCTGCAACCGTACATGGGACTAACACTCCGTTCCGATCACGGACGTGAACGTTTCGGTCGTGAAAGTTCACCGGATGATCGGCGCTACGCAACCAAGACATGCCCAAAATCATGTCGAACTTGGTGTCGAGGATGTCAAAAGACACCGGCTCGCACGCAAGGGGTGCAAAGTACACCGGGACGTCATCAATGCATCGGTCGATCGACTTCTGCGTGTGGCCGTCCGCGAGTGTGACGTGCGTTGGTTGCGTCTTCCTTCGAACGCGTGGGCCAAGGCCTGCGCGTGCCATGAAGGCTTGGCTCATGAACTTGCGAGACGCTCCGCAATCAATCAAAGCACTGCAGGTTGCTTTTCCGATTTGAATGCGGATATAGAGTAAAGGTGCGTCGGTTTCGGCGTACCTTTGGGTGGCGTGCTCGCGGTCGATCTTCGCAAGATAGGAGCGGAGATCGACAACCGCTACTCCGTCGTCCGTAAGCGGAGCTGGTACTGCAGCGTGCAAATAGGCGCGTAGATGTGCCATCAAGGCGTTGCAATGCGGCCTTGGCAAGGTTCCGGTTGAGGGTAGAGGCATCCAAGCGAAGTCCTCTCTCGTGAGCGGGTCGAGCTCCTCAAGTCTTGACCACGCCGTCGAGTCCTCGGAATCCAGTGGCGAGCTGACCGGATCGCTTGCCTACGGTGTACAGGCTGTGCATACGCAATCTACTTGCACGTGGCTTGGCTGGTCTAATGGTGGTACCAGCTGGGCGGCATAATCCTCGTATGTAGTACGAGAATCAGCGACTAACGCATGCTCCCCGGTAGTGACGTCAGTTGCTAGCAAGGCAACCGGTTCCGGCGGAGTGAGGAGAGTCGTCGCTCCTCTCCTTGCATAACTCAGTTTCCCGAGTTTGGAGGACGGGGTGCCCATGCCTTGCCCTTTTCGGGGCATTGTGCGGTTGCGTGAGTAACGCTATTGCACCACAGGCAATAGTTGTACTTCTGTCGAAGATCGTACACCTCCTTGGTGATGTGATATGCCGTCCAAGGTTGCTGCCCAGCTCCCGTCGCTGTCGTCGCTTGTGTCGCCTTGGGTTTTCGAACCCTCTTGGGACGCTTCGGCGGGAGCGCTGCTACAGTTCCTCCATCACTCGAGGATGCTGCGGTGGCGTGGAGGTCGACTGATTCGTCAAGAATCACGACATTGTTGTGTGTCGGTCGTTGGTAGCCCTGCTTAGCCACAAAATGCGGTTGGGACTGCTTCTCGTTCGCGGCCTTATCGTCCGTTTGAATCACGAGGTTTGCACGATCCAGAATCGACGGGAACGTGTCATAGTCGTACTCATTGCCGAGTGCGGCTCGCAGTCCTGCGCACGATCGCGAGAAGAACTCGGATCGTTGGTTTGGGAAACTCAAGTCGAAGCCTGGCGTGGTTACTATCTTCTGCCACTTGATTGTCCAGTCTCGAGTTGGCATGTTCCCTTGTGAGCACGAGTATACGTCGTTCATGGCCGCCTTCACGACGTTGCGGACCATGAAGCGAGTGTGCCACAACTGTTCAAACTCCTGCCACGTGAGGTGGTTATGGAGTTCGGCGATGGTGGTCTGCCTGGTGGTTGCGAGGTGATTCATCCACGCTTGTGCTCCTCCAGTGAGTTGTAGGAAGAGCGCCTTCATCATGTCTTCGGTGGGGACCTTGTGGCAGGCGGCTTCGGTGAGGAAGGCTTGCCACCATTGTAACGAGTCAGTCTTGTTGTAGTCCTCGAATCGACCGATGTTGAAACGCGGCATCTTGAATGCCTTCGCAGCTGCTGCCGGTTGCGCCTGCAGCTTGGCGATGTCCGTCTTGATAAAGGCCACCGTGCTGCTGATCGTGGCCGGACCGGTGAACGCACCTAGATCGCCGATAACATTGACGACATGGTCGATGCGCTCATTGAGCTGCTTTGCCATGCCTGTTGTGCAGCCTGGCGCTGCGTGGGAAGGTCTTGCCTCGAGCGCAGCAATGCGGGAATCCAACTGTTTCAGCTGGGAGCCCGCGAGCTTCATGGCTGCTGCGAGCGTCGACACATTATGGTTTAGATCTCCCCGTAGCTTCCGTGTGGCCCCGGACTGAAGTTCTCCCATGGTGCTGGTCCAGATGACCGCTCGCATTGTGTCGAGTAGGATGGTTGCCAGGTTGTGTCTCTCCTCTTGAACTGCCGTGGGCTCGGTGCCGGGTATGGGGACATACTGCATCCCGTCGAGGACCGCCGTCCAATGCTCCTGTTGGGAGATCAGACGTGAGGCACTGTCGGCATTGAGCTGATTGGTCACCAATTGCTTTGCTTCAGCTTCTTGCTGCGCCCGAGCTGCAGCTTCTGCTGCTAGCCTTTGTTTCTCGGCTTCGGCAGCTTCATGCCGGTCCTTTGCAAGGGCGAGTGAGTCTGTATAGGCCTTCACTCGGGCGAAGTAGTCCGTGATGGATTCATTCGGCCCTTGGACCGGACAGACCGGTAAAGGTTCGGCATTGCCGGATCTCGAGGTCTCGGATGACGCCTCGCTGTTCGGCGTGTTCGCCATCTGCGTACCGGTCGGTTGTTGCTGTCGAACTGCTGGTTGCTGTTGCTGTTGGCGGCCCGCGATCCTCAGACTGCTGTTCAGTGGCCTTTCCTGCTGGCATCTGTAATCTGCTGCGAAGAGCTGGCTCGTCCGGACAGTCGCGGGGCAGTGAGAGGGAGAGAGGGGGGGGGGGGTACAGGGGAAGAACAGATCAACAATTTTCAAGCAGCCCCCTGTCCCAATACGGACTGGATCTCTAATCAAAAGGGGAAAAATTGCCCCCCCACAAAAAATCGTAATTATTCAAGATTAATTTCGAAAAAAAAAAAAACGAATTTATTCCAATTAAGGAAAATAATGTTGACATAACGATTTAAAATCCAAATAATGAATTTAACAAATTTAATCCGATTAATGAATATTTATCCAAAATAATAAAATTTAATTCAAATAATGAATGTAGTCCAAAATAATGAATATATTTCAAAATGATGAAAATAATCCACTTTAACTACAATTGCATCCAAATTTCGGAAAATAATTCGAAATATCAACCCAACTTCGAAATAATGAAATTTTAAGTCAACAATGGCAATTGTCAATATTCTGGTATGCAAAAATGACGAACTTCCGAAATTAGTGCATTCAATCAGATATTTGACAATGCAGCAATGTGTGCTTTCTCACCAATGACATAATGGTGGTTCTTGAATAATCAGCGGCCTTCAATAGAGAAGGTAAGTGGGATGATCAGAAAATCCCGAAATCGCGAAATTAGGGTAAAAGATCAGTTCAATGATGTGGTACATTGCTTCTATCTGGACAGTTCCCGACAGCTCGATTAAGGAACTGAACAGACGAGCCAGGATATACCTATGGACAGGTGACCCTAATAAAGATAAGGGCATATCTAAGATAGCCTGGCAGTACGTCACAAGGGAACCACGAAATGGAGGCCTGGGAATCATTGACCCCGGAACTGAAACCAAAGCTCTCCAAATTAAATGGATCATCAAATTGCTGATGAATCCGGACAGCGCCTGGAAC